TCCATGCCAGCTATCACCCTCAAGTTGATCTTCCGTGAGGCCAATACAACAGCAGATATACTAGCAAAAGAACGCGCTCAGTTAGGCCAAGGTACACAGCCCAACCCTTAACTCTTCTCTACCCTCTCTCCTCTTCCTTACTTCCCCCTCGCTCTGAGTACACTCTAATTCTCACTCACTCTTCTATCCCCCAGCCAGGGCCCACAAAGGTAAATTTGCCCCCCCCCAAAAAAACTAATAATAAATAAATAAATAATAAAAAATAAAATAAAAAAACAGGTAAGGGGTGAGGGGTAATAGCAGCTGGCTCATTGAGGAAGGAAAAAAAAATAAAATAAAATAAAAAGGAAGGGGTGGGGAAGAAAAAGAAAGAAAAAGTTTGAGAATGGGACTATTTCTCTCTCCTCCATTCTCATCCATATTCTCTAGTTCTCTCTCCACAGCACTTTTTCTCTATCTTCTACTCTACCTCTTCACCCTGCTTCTCACAGACATCTCTAGTCTTTCTTCACCATCTCTTCTCACATTCATAGCTCTCTTCTCCCCATTCTTCTCTTCTCTTCTTCTCACTCTTCCCCCCTCTTCTTCTCCTCTCCCACTTACTCATCCTTCTTCCCCTCTCCACTCTTAGACAACCTGTTACAATTCTCTGGGCATTTGGAAGTTTAACTTATCTTACTGGGCTTTCCTCCCTTTTCATCTTTAATCTACCTCTCTTAACCTCTTTGCCACCAAAACCCACACCTCAGTCAACCCTCAATATCCCAAAACTTTAACCTCCGGAACACGACCTGCTCCATACTCCCTATCGGGAGTTTCACAACCCATCTCTGTCTTCTTACCAACTCTTTCTGCGTTTTCATCCCTCAACTCCTTCACCCTTACATGCCAAATATGCAATATGGTTACTATCTCAGACTCCATCTTTGCCTGTGCCCCGTCGCCTTTTACCACTTGACCAACGGGAAGCCACATTGCTGAAGACAGGAGCCAGACTCCAAATCTCAGCACCGTGGGTTACTAATATCAGGGACCAGCAATCCTCCCACAGGCCATCAGGTCCATCTTAGCAGAAGCCCAGCCAGACCTGACAGCATTCCCCATCAGAAAATCATGAAGACTTTCTCAGCAATGTTTTCTCACCTTGAAGACTTTCTCAGCAATGCTTTCTCAGAATATCATGACGACTTTCTCACTATGAATGTGGTGCTTTTATTTCTGTTTTGTTTACTTTCACTCATAATCGCTGTATTATCTTATGCCTGCTCTTTTTTTGGTCTTACTCTCTCCCTCCCCCCTAGCAACTACGCTCTCTTGGTTTAGATTCTGTTTTTTTAAGCACTCAATAGGTGGGACCACTCCTTTTTTGGACTCTCTCTGTTATAATATTTGTATTTTGAGCACCCGATATGTGGGGTGTCGTAGAAAGAACATACTTCAAGTAAATTCTTTTATTAATACAAAGTTAACATTCTAAAAAAAAAACAAGTCTCTATTATCAATGAACTTCCTCATCATGGATAAGACATGATCAACATAAAATTCTTGAAGTAAATTACCCCCAATGACTCAATGTATTCAAAAGATTCAAAATAAGTAACTAAGAAGCATAATGCCATTAACATGGTATAGATTAGGTTCTTACTTGAGTGTGATTGTATATATATACTATGACTTTCTTTGCCTTTTGGATGGTTATCTGGAATGTCTACTTCTTACCAAGGGCCTCAAGCAAGAGGTCTATGCAGTGTGCTGCACAAGGGGATCAGAAAGTACGCGGCCTCTTCTCCATCAATAACCTAGCGGCCGCCATATTAGTTGGGGACATATCGGTCACTACTTGGACCGCTTTATTCTCCCCTATCTCCTCTATGCACTGATCCACTAAATTAAAAATGAATTCTGCATCATGGGACTTATTAGAAGCATCAATAGACCTCAAGAACATTGTCCGTAATGGACAATTCACCATCAAATTCATAATTCTTTTGCTCCTTTTATCAGTCCAATCATTAGTCATGACTGAACAAGGATATACACCCCATGCATCCCTGTGGGTCATCAAATAGTTATTGGTGAGCTCCACTTCTTTTATATTGGTGAGTCTTGGGGTTATGTGGCCATTTAAATGCCTTACGAGAGCTTGTAAAACTATGACTAAGTGATATGACAACTCCAGTGGGAATACCGTCTAGAGAGATCAAAGGACCATGGTCCAGAGGGGCCGAAGTTGGCAATATTGATACCAAGACTCAAACTTGGCTTTACGAAATAGGCCAAGTTGAGTTCTAAAACCCTATGAGACCTGAGCATATAGCATAACCGAGAAGGGTTTGCAGGATTACCCCCTGATGAGGTCAGAGAGATGCCCAAGGTAGTTGGCTAAGAGACTTAGTGACCCTTGTGTGTGATTGGTAAGCCTGAGTGGACAAGGGCCCAGATCCTCATCATGACCATCATATGGTATATACATATGATAGCCATATTGGGGAGTAGACATCATTGAGGGTGTTACATGTACATATCTGAGAGATAGCCCCCATGCACCAATTGCAATAAGTATGCACAGATCTGTGTGACCTAAGCTTATCCCTAAGGGGAAACCTATAGTCTATAGATAAGGATTGTGTTCCCATAACATACTGGCTGGCTTTGGCAGTCCAATCAGAACCCTTGTGATGGACTCTAAGTTATGAAAACGACTAGGTCAATTTGAGAAAGTATGTGTGACATAGTCACTAGTAGAGATGGAGTGCCTCAGTATATTCACATTTTTCTTAACAAACTTGGATCAGGATCCCATCAAATTAATTTAAAATAATTAATTTTGTATTAAATATTTTTAGAATATTAACGTGAATTTTTAAAAGCCTCTGGCTATTTTATTTTATCAAAATTACTTTTAAATTGGTTAAAATTGAGTTTTCAGGTATTTAAATATCTAGAGAGAAAAATAAAATATTCATGGTCTTCTAAAAATCAATTTAATTGTTTTAAAATTTAATTTAGATGGTGGGGACCCAAGATTTAATGGGGCCCACCACATTAGGCCTAATTATGTGGAGCGTGGGGCTCACTTGTGTCATCTATAGGTGGTGCCTCACTCTTCTCTATTCCTTGTATGGTGTGGCTTGTCCATGAAGCCACCTAGGTGATTTGAAATTGCAATAGAATGTTCTAGGAAATAAGGATGATTGTTTTCAAAATAGGAAGGTGTAGAAGATTGATTGAAACTAAAAAGGAAATATACAACATATTTTCTCTACCTTAAATATTTGATGGGATTAGGTTAAGGAAGCCGAGGGATAAGGTTCTAGCGCTTTCCATTAGATCATGATGACTGATCTATAGATTGTATGATTAAGATCTCTCACCCCACAGGTCACCTTTATCACTGGTCTAGATGGAATCTCATAAGGATGACTAAAACTCTAAGAAACCCTAACCCTAGCCTTGCTTCTATATAATATCACATATGGGGTTCATCTTAATGACTCTTTAAGACTTGAGAGCTCTCTATCTCTCTCTCCCTAAAGCTGGCACGCCACCCTCTCTCTCCATATACTATTATCTCTCTCTCTCTCTCTCTCTCTCTCAAAACCAAAGAAAGAAAAGTGGGGCACGCCCCTAGGGTTTGTGATACATAGAAGGGGCATGCCCCATATAGTGTGAGAAGAAGAGGCCCCCAACTTGTATGCATGCTCTTTAATACCAAGTAGGGTTTGGCATTACTTCCCATTTGCTGAGATTCAATAAAGACTGAGATCTTGTACTCCAGCGGTGGAGGAGACCTGGTGTGAGGTGTACAAAGTCTTTGGGGATAACTTGAGACAAAGTATTGGGTAATTCTAATGGCTTCATGTTTCTTGATTCCTCATGCATTATAGTTTTGTTTGATTGTATAGAATTGCAATGACATGCAAGAGAAGATCTTAGGTTGTATTAGGTTTTATTTTTGTAAATTAAAATTGTGTTTTTGGACAAATGTAAGTGATCTAACCGGTATTGCAAAATAAAGAATGAAAAATTTTAAACTGTACATATTGAACTAGATCACGTAGGCCTTTCAGTGAGCTCCGCTTCTTTCCTAAGTGATGGCACTTTAAGCTCATAAGCAGTTTGAGCCTTAAACCCTAACCCAAATTGACCCACTACTTCCAACATAGTTTGGAAGCTACTCAAGTTAGCGGCACTAAAAGAAATGGGATATTTTTTCTAGTTTCGTAAAACAAACAAAAACAATTCAATTTACACCTTAGATATGGTCAAAATGAGTCCCCTCCAGTAATGAATCTAGACCATCCATTTAGTGGACTTCAAAATCTAGGCCTTTACAAATTCAAAATTCATTTTTTTTTTTTAAACATTGTTAATCTAATAATAAGATAAAACTATCTAAAATTTTTGGAAAGAAAAAAATCGCTCTAAGGTTTGATCTAAGACTGTCAATATTAATTGGGCTAAAACAACACTTTTTGTGATGTGTTTTCAAATTTTGCCTTTTGTGATTGTTGTATGTTTCGGGCTCAAACAAATGGCTCTAACATGGTTTTTGAAGATTGTTTCGCCATATTATTATAAAACTGTTGCTGGAAATCTCTCTCTGAAGGTTTTGTATAAAACTTAAACATCACCGTTTATAAAACTTAAACATCACCGAGATATCCAATATCTGGGGTGTATTGATCCATTACTGCAACTCTAGTAAAAAATTTGATGGGCTCTGAATTTTGGGATGAAACATTGCAGGTGCCCACTGTTGAGCTCAGAGAGTGGGGGTGATGTGAATATTCCTTCAGGATCTTCAGTGCACTCATTTTATATGAACCCATATGTGTATAATTAGGCAATTCCGTCTATGAACTGACAGCATTGATATTTTTGTTTTTTCTTTCTTTTTTCCTTTTTTTTTCTTGACTATTATTTATACACCATGATTATTTGAAAGAGGCATGGTATCAATAACTACTTTGTCATTTCTTGGACATTTCTTGGAACAGGCAGCTGACCAAAGAAAAATTGTGGATCCCCATATCACAAAATACTCAGTAAAAGTTCTCCCAGTGAGTCAGAACCTTTTGTTTTTGTTCTTTCAATTAAATCTTGGAATATGAAGTATCCTTCAAGCACCGTACTTTCCAATTTTGGAGCAAATACTAAATTCATCATCATCAGAGCCAATATCCCTTATGACTAGTGGAATTAAAAATTCTTATATTTTATATTTTACATTCGTGTCTTTTTTTTTTTGTGTTTTTCCTCCTAAAATTCTCCCAATTTTGAACAGCAGTTATGGACCAATGTTTTTATTTAACTGGAGTTTTCATGTACAAAACATCAGTTTTAGGGTAGTTGTTTGAACTTTTAGTTCTGAACCACTGGGTTACTGGTGAGGTTCTAGTTTTGAGCATGCGTTTTGTACATGATTACATCAATTAGGAACTAACAGTTCTAAACCGGTGATAAAAACACTGGTTTAGAACTAGGGGTCATTTTGGGGATATGAAAAAGCTAAAAAAGATGACACAAAAGTCGAATATAAAATATCGAAGATATTTTTTAATTCCACTACTTTTAGGATATACTGGCATAAATTTCCTTAGAAAAATACACTGCTTTTTCTTCTCTCTCTTCGATTTACATTTTATGTTGGGTTGTTTGTTTTCTAGTTCAACTATGATGTGAGTGCATATGGATTCCGTGAGTTCTTTAAGAGACATGGGATTCAGGCTTCTGAATGAAATCAAGAGGACAGATTTGTGGAGGCCCATAGTACTGCAGCTTGCAGTGTCTATATCAGCTGTCTGAGATCGGGAGAGTATTTTCTTGGTTGCTTTGGATCAAATGGAGAGAGAGAAAAGGGGGAGGGTGTTTGGGGTCACTGTATGGTATTTTTGTAAGGGAGAGGGTAAGTGAGGCTGTTAGGGAATTACCTTTTTTTTTTGTATGAGAATATAGGCGATATCTTCTATGTTTGCAAGAGGAGAGAAGGGTCGTGACTTTTACCACAGGAAATGGTTTATATAAGGTTGCAATTTTACACTATTGCAGTAAGGTGCACCTCAAATATTCTCTAAAAAAGTGTTCCGATATTAGAGAACCCTCTAATTTATTATTTGGACCTCAAAATGTGTGGATAAGAAGAAGATGAAAGAATTTTTTAGTCCTAAAAATAGTGTATCATGTTATTTAAACAATCTATTTTGAAGATTTTTAAATATTTATAGATGTGCTTGATTTATACTATTTTTTAAATTTAAAATTTCATAACTAAGAATAAAATAGATTTTTAAGAGATATGCCTTGCTTATGTAGTATGAGGGTCTCTAATGCAAACCCTATTATATCAAGAATATTAATTTTAGGGAAATTATTAGGTCCTTGTCCCGACTATTAAACATGGGTCCGCTCCTTTGTGGGTGTTAGGATGGGCGTTTTGTCCCAATTCATTAGAATTTGACAAATCCCCTTAGGTCTCAATTTAATGCAATTTTCCTTTTTTGAGATGTATGGCTTACATTTTGGCATCGTAAAAAACTTTCGGATTTTTTTTTGAATACTTTTATAGGATATTGGCATTTGCCAAATTAGAAGTAAAATAGATGCGCCAAAGGCCTGCCCAAGCGTGGACGGTATAATTACCATGGGATATAATGGGGAGACCCCCGTCTCTGTATTTTCTGGCTTGACAAACCTTGCTCCCTCGAGTGCAAATGGTCCGGCCCTAAAAAAAAAACCAGGGCTTGGGCTTCAAAATGTAGCCCAAGGGCAGCTAGGCCAGGCTAGTGACATGATAGGGCCGGCCACCTAGGCCCTCCCAGCACTTTGTCAGCCTTATGCACATAACCAAGTTATGTTGCGTTCCAAGAATAGAGCAAAGCTTCTGCAATGTTCAATTAAGTGTTTTAAAATCTGAATCGGTTCGGTGAACCGGCCATCAAGAAATACTCTCTAAATAGGTGAATGGTTGATTTGGATTGATGAATCGGATCAATTCTTTGATGGGGTAAGCAATCCATAAATAAAAAAAAAATGGAAACAATAAATAAAGAATATAGTGTAAGAACTGGGTGATCCGGCACACAATGCTCTAACAAACTTCCCAAATTACAAATAAAACTAATCGTGTCCATAGGAATCGACATAAGGATCCAGGTTGGTCCCAAATTACAAATAGTTGTGTCCATAGGAATCGACATAAGGATCCGGGTTGCTCTAGACCGCACATGATCACATCTCCCAAAATCATAATAACAACCATAAAGTTATACCTGGAGCTTTAAAAAAACAAGTGCGGTATGTATAGAGCCGAGTCTCTAAACAATCAAAGTAAAGCGTACCTTCAAATAGTATCGAGAAATGTGGTTTTAATATTGAAAATTTTTGTGATAGCCTGAAGATATATTTTCATCTTTAATTATAAAATTTGAAGCTTCAAAAATAGTGTAGCTCAAGTAGATATATGAAAATATTGAAAATTAACGGTCCACAAATGTATCACAAGATGTACTACTACCAAAACTTGAAATCCATTTTTCTTTCATGTCCATACATCTTAACGTCAAGATTATCAATTTGAAGATATTTGAACATCAAAACCACCTCTTCTAGGGAAATTTTTTAGGTAGGCTCAAATTTGATTGTTTAGAGCCTCTCTGTATAAACCTTTTCCTTAAAAAATACTCACTGAAGGTGTCTACTCAAAAAGCTAGACCGTCCTACAAAGACTGAAAAACAAAAAAGATAACATGTGCACAAGTCAGCATCACATTGCATGATTACATCCACAAGAAGGCGAAGTTTCATGCATATGAGGCTTATTTGGTGGGGACACAATATTCCCAAACATGCACTCGAGATGATCATAAAAATATATAATAACAGCAAAAAATAAAAAAGCTGCACAGAAAGCTAAAATGCCACGTGACATACAATGGAACAAATTCCATACGGTAAATAGAGTTACACTTCGGCCCAAAAAAATGAAGCTCGTCACAAAATAATCGACCTCAAATGCTTTAACCGTAAAAAAAAAAAATTAGGCAGTTCCCTAAAAATAAAAAAGGGCATTCGGAGTTACAAAGTTCGAGAACAAAAAACAAGAGACTATTGGACAATTGGCTCACTCAGTATTTTCTGAGTTCACATCTTCAGCTATCTTCTTATCATCACTGTCATCTTTTCCATTTTCTCTTGCTGCTCTCTGAGCAAGTTCCTCTCTCAGCCTTCTCAGTTCAGAGTCTTTCTCCTCCAAGGTCTGCTGAAGCACACTAACCTAGAACACAAAAACTACATCTTACACAAGCCTACTGCATTTATATTCCACTTGATCTCTATGTATTACAAAACAAACCATCGACAAGCAAGAAGTTGCAGTTAAAAATGTACCAATTCATTTGATTTTTCCACACTTTCACTGAGCTCCTCCATGTACTCGCACACTCCTGTGAAAATGGAAAATACAGGATGCAAAATATTAGTATGAAACAGCTAGAACTTGTACTTGTTTACTTCTTCAATAGCTTTGGCCGGGTTTGAGCCTCGGACAATCCAAATGTGATTATCACCCACTACCTATGAAGGGTAAAGTTCATGAACCTTTTTTTCTCAGAAAAAGAAAAAAAACGGCTGGAGCTACATCACAGACAACATAAAGCCAAACAGCGCAAAACAATTCAAAGCAAACATATTCTTAATGATTTAACAGCAGTGGAAATCTTTAGTATGCTAATGTTTCACTCCTGATAATATTCTCGATCAATCAGAGCTTTTAAGAAGGAAACAATAGCATTGGTGTGTCAATTCCCTGCCTGAAGAGCAGTGATTTCAATCAAAATGATGCCTATGTGCATGCATCTCAACCTTCGAAATTTTTTTATCATTTTGGAAATCTTGTTTTTGTCAAAAATAGGAATTTCTAAAGATCGATTTTCAGTTGCTCTAGAAGTGGTGTTTCCATTGAAGCGCTCAAAATGCCAGATATTCCAGAATTGAAATTTCGACATCCTGTAGAATTCTTCCCTTTTGAGATTTTTTAATTTCTCAATTTTTTCTTCGTCGATGAAACATTTTTCTTGAAACACATCACCGTGCTTTATAATTTGTTCAGAAGTCTTAGAGGAGTTTTTTGAGTTTTCTTAAGCATGCATCATGATAACATATTCATCGTGTTTCTCTAACTCAGTCAGATTCAGAGATTTAATTCATATTCAATCTCATCTTCAAAGAGTTCTTCTCCAAAGAAAATTTCAAAGGTGTTTTGAGAAAGAAGGTGAATTTGAAGGAAACGCATGCAGAAGAGAAGGAAGAAGCAGAGGTTTTACCACAAAAACATAAGACAGCTGAAGGGAAAGTAAAAAACTAGGACTAGAACCGTAACGCTCGAACTTCGAGTGAAACTCTGAATTTCAATGCTTAAACTGAAAAACTGAGTCCCTATTTATAGAGTGGGGTGGATTTCAAACCATTACAACACGTTTAAAGTCCGCAATAATGGTGATAGATGAGCCATTATTGGCGTAGGTGAGCAATAATAGAGGCGGTGAGGTGTCTAGTCAACCTTGATGAGGTGTCCAGTCAAACTAATGAGGTGTCCAGCGTTCCATTATCGCAGCCTGTTGAGGTGACCAATAAATGAGGCGAGTACACCATTATGAGTGTGATGACATCAACGCTTGCGTCATTGCTTGCGTCATTGATGACGTCATGTTTTGCGTCACCGCTTGCATTATCAGGGATACATGTGCTGGATAATTTTTGCAGTCCGTCCATCCTATAGTTTTTCCATTATTACCTTTACATCATATTGGCAATATTGGAGTTTTCAATACTGTCTAAATTGTCACTACTAGCAAAGGAATTGTTTTTCCATCTGTGCAGAAATGTATCTTGAAAGATCTCAAGGTGCTCTTCAGCTTGATTAGCTAGGTCAGAGGGGAGATCCATCAGTACTGTCGTAAGATAAAGATTTAGATATTTTTCTAAATCTATATCTAGTTCTTCCTTAGCTGTGTGAACTATCGGAACATCTGTTACAAACAATCTTCTGCCGTCTATAAATTTTGTCATTCTTGTTTCTTTTATAGCATACAATTTTTGGTGAATGCTATTAATACTTTTAACGGCATATTCAGTGATGTCTAGATTTTTTATCTCTTCTTCAGTTACAAGTTTTTCTTCAGAGATATAAAAATCCATCTGATGTGTGTTTCTCAATTACCAAATTTGATATGGCTGGTAGAATTTTTCTCTAGCGAACCATCCAGTGGTGCTAGTTATGTCGAATGTCAAGTGGTTTTTGTGTATCCATGATTTGGAAACTCTGTAGACCAAAATCATGATGAAATTGGGCAGGAATTTAAGAGATAGTTCATGAAGGTGCTCAAATATGATTTTTCCAGTAAAGCCTCATTCCACAATCTCGACGTAATCATAGTTTTGATTAAAGTCGAGACACAAAACAACTTTTATGTTTTGGTGTGGGTCAAGATAGAGATTTCCAATCTAACTTTCCAGGAGTTCTGGAATTTTTGAAAACTGACCTCTATCCACCATTTGGGATATTTTAGAAAATATATAGGGAAGTTTTGGTGAAAATCTTTTTGTAATTCTAAAACTTCTTTGTTAAAAAGATTTTCTAAATTTTGGGTTTGAGCAAATTGGTTATTTACTCAAAACCATTCGTTGTCCTCCCTGTTTAGGAGTGGGCGTTTTCCTTTGTCGATGATCCTTGTTTAGGATAGATTGATCCTTGTTTAGGATTTCCTCTTTCGACTGATCCTTGTTTAGGATTTTGTCTCTGTTTGTTGACGAATCCTTGGTTAAGATTTCGTCTGTCTGTCCATCCATCCTGCTCAAAAAGTTAGTTAAGACATTGTTAGCACATTTGATGAACTCAACAGTAAAACTATACATTTGCAAAAGGTTCATCCATCTTATGCGTCGAAGGTTTTCCTCCCTCGTTTTATTGGACAGGAAGTCTTTGACAGCTTTATTATCTGTTTTGATAATAAAATTTTCTGGCGCAAAGTATATGTGAAATCTTTTTACTCCACGTATAACTGCCACTAATATTTTTTTGCAGATCATGTAATTCTGTTCGTTTGGTTTTAACTTCCGGAATTGTATCCACATACAAGCTCTTTTGATGAACCTTTTCAATATAGATGTCAATATGGTTTATCCTCGCTTTTCAGGTACGGTTTTAACTTCCGGAATTGGATCCTCGCTTTTGACTTCCGAGGATAAACCATATTGACATCTATATTGATATACATTTGATATACCTTTTCAATATGGTTTTAACTTCCGGAATTGGATCCTCGCTTTTCAGGTGAGAATCCATATTGACATCTATACTTATGTTCTATAAGTATAGGTATATCAACTTTATCTCCTTTTTGAGTTAAAGTTATTTTTTCTGAATAGATTTCAATTGGGTAATGATTTTGTAAAAAGTTGTTTACCAAAATAAAATATCCATCCATGAATGGAAAACAAAGTATCTTTGGGATGGAAAATGTTTTATTTCCCAACCAGATAGCAATGTTTTTGGCATTATACTCTATGAGAGTATTATTACCATCCATGCCGGTTGCATGCAATGGGCTTTTAATACGTTCCCATTTTTCTAATGGTAACGCGGACGGACAACAGGCGCATGTGGTTGCTCTTGTGTTGACCTTCAAAGTCAAATTCTCCAAAAACAAACCTGACAGTGTGCCCGCAAGATAATCAAAAACTCTATCAGTGGTCCATGAAGGATTGTTTGTTATAAAAATAGTCATGGATTGTGCCCATTCGCTGATAACTTGGTTGTATTCGGAGAAAGGTACATTTTTTATATCCAAATACGTTCCAGTTACTGAAACGTGTTGTTTGTGATCTTCCTGTCTGTTATTTATAGTGGGAATAAGTTTTTCAAAAGCAGCAGACATTTGAGGTTTTTCCTCAATTGTCTGACAGAAGTCTGCTGTGTTAGAAGTTTCTTTTTCTTTATGAAAATTTTCAAAATTTTCTTTTTGAAAACTTTGTTGGTAGTCTTCCCATTCTTGGGCCGAATGCTTTTCGGTTTCAAGGTTAGAATCCAAGGGATCTGGCTCCTCAACCTTTCTTTTTCCTTCTTGGTCTAAAGATGGTTTTTCAGCATCGCTTTCTGAATCTGATTCTATATCAGACTGAACCTTTACTTTGAAAACCGAAAAAGACTCATCTTCATCTATGTTTAAGATGAGAAGGTAATTGTTTTTTATCATGAGTTTTTCATTTTTAAAAAATAAGAGGTAAAGCCAAGATGGGAAACAACTATCAAAGGCTTAACCAAAATATTGAGTTTGATGGATATTTTATTCCCAGAAAGGATGCAATAATACATCAAACCAAAGGAGTAAGTTTGACAGCAAGTCAGAATTCTGACAAATCATGCTAACAAAATAATCCAAACCACTAACTGCTTTCAGTGCTCCATACAGCCATTATCAATGGAAAGTAATACCATTCAGACTCTGCAATGCACCGCAGATATTCCAGATATGGATGGATGGATGATATTTTTTCAGATTTAAAAGATTTTTGTGTTGTCTACATAGATTATATGTTAGTGTTTTCAAAACCCTAGAAGAGCACCAAAATCATCTCAAAATCATTTCCAAAAAATTTCTTTATCACGGAATCATTTTAAATCCCAAGAAAATGCAGATTGAGAAAACCTCAATGGAATTTCTAGGCATAGTCTCATACCAAACAGGTATAAGACTTCAGGAACATATTATTTCCAAAATTAAGAATTTTCCAAATATGCTTGTAGATAAAACGCATCTACAAAGCTTCCTAGGAATGCTTAATTATAGAATAAATTTTATTCCAAACCTCTCTAAAAAGGAGAGACCTCTTTAAGAAAAATTGAAAAAGGATAAAGAATTCTCTTGGAATACTGATGACACAAACATTGTCAAACGTATCAAAGAAGAATTAAAAAATATTCCTTCAGTTTATTTTTCTAAACGAAGAAGATAAACTAATCTTTGAGACCGACGCTTCAGATGAAAATTACGGAGCCGTCTTAAAGGCTGACATTGGAGGAAACGAGCTTGTATGTGGATACAATTCCGGAAAGTTTAAACCAAACAAACAGAATTACATGATCTACAAAAAAATTACTGGCAATTATACGTGGAGTAAAAAGCTTTCACATATACCTTGCGCCAGAAAATTTTTATTATCAAAACAGAAAATAAAGCTAACAAAGACTTCCTGTCCAATAAAAAGAGGGAGGAAAACCCTCGACGCATAAGATGGATGAACCTTTTGCAAATGTATGCTTTTACTGTTGAGTTCATCAAAGGTGCTAACAATGTCTTAGCCGACTTTTTGAGTAAGGAGGATGGACAGACAAAGACGAAATCCTAACCAAGGATCCGTCAACAGACAGAGACAAAATCCTAAACAAGGAGGACAGCGAATGGTTTCGAGTAAATAACCAATTTGCTCGAACCCAAAATTCAAAAAATCTTTCTTACAAAGAAATTTTAGAATTACAAAAAGATTTTCACCAAAACTTCCCTATAGAAACTAAACAAGTTTCTAGTTTTTTCAGAAATCCTGACATTCCTTTTAATATTTATGAAGAACTAGATCAGGTATGGAAAAACCATATCTTAGGACACAAAGCCCAATTTCGAAAACACATGAGTTCACTCTTTGACCTGATAACCAATCACAGTCGCAATTTTGAAAAACTCAAAGAGAAAATATTTTTATCCATTAAGCAAATGAGCTGGAACGAAGATTTCTCTTTTGATAAGTCCTTTTCTTGAGATTTCACAACTCCTTGATCATCAAACAGGTGATCCCGTTTTCGAAAAAATCAAAAGAATCATTATGAAAAGGCTAAAACAAGTCTTACCTAGCGACATATTTTCTAAAATATCTCAAATGGTGGACAGAGGTCAATTTTCACCAAAACATAAAAGTTGTTTTGTATCTCGACTTGAATCAAAACTATAAAACTACAAAACATAAAAGTTATTTTGTATCTCGACTTGAATCAAAACTATAACTACGATGAGATTGTGGAATGGGGCCTTACTGGAAAAATCATATTTGAGCACCTTCAAGGACTATCTCATAAATTCATGCCCAATTTCATCATGAGTATGGTCTAAAGAGTTTCAAATTATGGATACAAAACGACCACCTGACATTTGACATAAACAGCACCACTGGGAATTGAGAAAAACACATCAGATGGATTTTTATATCTTTGAAAAAAAACTTGTAACTGAAGAAGAGAAAAAAAATCTAGACATCACTAAATATGCTATTAAAAGTATAATAGCATTCACCAAAAAATTGTATGTTATAAAAAAAACAAGAATGGCAAAATTTACAGACGGCAGAAGACTGTTTGCAACAGATCTTCCGATAGCTCACACAGCTAAAGAAGAACTAGATATAGATTTAGAAAAATATCTCAATCTTTATCTTACAATAGTACTTATGGATCTCTCCTTTGACCTAGCTAATCAATCTGAAGAGTGCCTTGAGATCTTTCGAGACACATTGCCGCACAGATGGAAAAACAATTCCTTTGCCAGTAGTGACAATTTGGACAGTATTGAAAACTCCAATATTACCAACATGATGGAAAGGTAATAATGGAAAAACTATGGGACAGACCGATTGCAAAATTATCCAACACACGTATCCCTGATAATGCAAGCGGTGACGCAAAACATGACGTCATCAATGACGCATACGCTGACGTCATCACACTCATAATAGTGTACTCGCCTCATTTATTGGTCAACTGACAACCATTATTGCCTTCAGTACACCTCAACAAGCTGCCATAATGGAACGCTGGACACCTCATCAAGGTTGAGTGGACACCTCACCGCCTCCATTATTGCTCGCCTACCCCAATGATGGCTCATCTACCACCATTATTGCGGACTTTAAACGTGTCGTAATGGTTTGAAATCTGCCCCACGCCTCTATAAATACGGACTCAGTTTTTCTGTTTAAGCATCGAAATTCAGAGCTTCCCTCTGAGTTCGAGCCTTAGGGTTCTAATCGTAGTTTTCTGCTTTCCCTTCAGCTTAGTCTTCTGTTTCTGTTGTAAAACCTCTGGTTCTTCCTTCTCTTCTGCATGCCTTTCCTTCAAATTCTCCTTCTTTCTCATCTTCATTTTTCTTGTAAATCACTGTAATCCGCTTGTCTGTAAGATGTGTCTGTAACTGGTATCAGAGCGTGCTGTTGCTACCACTGTTGTTGCTGTTTAAAGTATATGAAGTAAAGTTTGTTGAATTCAGGCTATCATCATTTTTGGTAAGATCTTAATTTCTTTGCTTTAATTTATCTTCATGATGTTTATGTTCAATTTTATTTTGGTTTAAATTATTTCTTTAGCAAGGCAGTTTTTTCTCTTTCAGTTTTTCTAAAACACATACGCTTGTGTGTGGTTTCTCGAACTGTTTAAGCTGTTTAGTCAGGAGTGCGTTTAGGCTGTTAAGTTCAAAAGAAACTTTTTATCACAGGAGGGCTTTAGGTGCCAAGAAAAACAACATGAGAAAAATAGATTGCTTAGCAAAAGATGATAAATTAGATCAAACTGATTTCGAACAATTGTATCATTTAGATAAAAATGAAGAAAAAGAAATTTCAAATCTTAGTAGGAGTGTAAATGGTCTTTTTTATTTTTGCAATCACTGGTTTAAAAATATTTCAAAAAATCAACAAAATATTTCAGAAAAAATTTCTAAGGTAGAAACTAAAATAGATAATTTAGGATCTATAAAATATAGACTTGAACCCTGAGTCAAAAAATCTATTAAAAAATTTAGAACAGTCTTTAAATGAAAACAAAAATAATGTTTTCAAAGAGGCTTATGAAACACGTAAGTCACTCTATTTTGGAACTGAAATCATGACTTTAAAAGAAGAGTATAATGATTTCAAAGCTATAAAAGAAATACTTGAATACTGAAAATCCCGGTATATCAAAGAAACTAATTTTGAAATCAGATCTTAGCTCCAGAAAAATATGAAAGAATTGTTTTTTGAAAATGAAAAACTCATGATCAAAAACAATTATCATCTCATCTTAAACATAGATGAAGATGAGTCTTTTTTGGTTTTCAAAGTAAACGTCGAGTCTAATATAGAATCAGATTCAATGAGCGAAGCTGAAAAACCAGCTTCAGACCTCAAAGGAAAAAGAAAGGTTGAGGAGCCAGATCACTTGGATTCTGACCCTGAAACCAAAAAGTATTCAGCCCAAGAATGGGAAGACTACCAACGAAGTTTTCAAAAAGAAAATTTTGAAAATTTTCATAAAGAAAAAGAAACTTTTAACACAGAAGACGTATGTCAGACAACTGAGGAAAAACCTCAAACGTCTGCAGCTTTTGAAAAACCTATTCCCACTGTAAATAACAGACGGGGAGATCTGAACAAACAACACGTTTCAGATTATGCATGTGCAGGCATGAACACACACCACATAAGAGTTCACAAGACAGTTTTTTTTTCTAGTATTAGAATAGGTCCACGAGTACAAAAACAAACACATGAACATGCATGTACAGTTATTGAATCGCAACAAGGAATCACAGAAACGTCAAACAAACATGATACGTGAAACACAATGTGGGAGCCAATAAAGTTTTAAATACTAAAGTTTTAAATACTAATGAGGAAACCCTTGGAGGAATGGAGGGGGATGCTAAGTATTATTTATAAAATAAAGATTATGTCCACAACTAGGGGAAAAAGTATCACAAAGGATCTGAGTCGTCAAGAAATTGTAGATTACATGCTCGTCTTGTGAGGGTTTGAGAAAAGGATTATAATGCTAAGGATAAGAAGTTCTCCACACACAAAGATGGGTTTGACGATGTTTGGTTGCAATCCCTGCCCACACCAAAAGGGCCCCTTCCATTTTGTTACTGATATATAAAATCTTTTTTGCTCAGTAAGAAAAATTTTGCTAAATAGGTACTAAGTATATCCAAGTATAGAGGATCAACAGTCTCAAGATGTCTAGATGATATCTATAAGCCCTAATAAACCATGATTACTGATACATATATTAAGAGATAATAATTCTACTTGTTTGAGTGGAAAAAAAGAAGTGCAAGATCGTTGTTTTTTTAAAAAAAAAAAAAAACTATTACAAGATAATATTCTCAAGCATATGCAAATCATAAAATTCAATGAGAATTTATCGAATGAGAAAATAAAAGCTTACACAATCAAATTTCACAAACACATGAAATTGGCATAAAACTGACCTTGGAGCTGATGCCTGAGATCTGTATTTTGGGATTTTTGCAGTGAAAGCTTCATTGACAGATCGTGGATCTGCGGATTCATCACATTAAGTGAGAACTAATTAGAGATTCTTGCATGAGTTCAACTAACAGAAAGATGGAATTGCAGATGGAAGACAAGACCACTGCAATGAAATATGCGAACATCCCATAAACATTGAAGTGTCCAAAAAAAGAAAATGAATTCTGGAAAAATACATAAGTATTGCCAAATATGCCAAGACTAAGATGACAAAATTAAATTCTAATAGACATTCATCTACTTCTTCTCTCTTCCTATTGTAGTCCAGACACAGAAATCAATGATATGGTGATGCATTTTTCTTGGTGATTCAAATAAAACATTGAAGTGACCAAAACAAGAATACGAATTCCAGGAAATACCCATATATTGCCTACTTATTCAAGAATAAGATGAAATAATAAATTCAAACAGAACATTCATCTCCTCTTTTCTTCTTCCCATCAAAGTAGTCCAGGCACTCGCAACCAACTACATCGTATTGTACTTTTCTTGGTAGTTCACTTGATTTTAGGCAGTGAAGAGATGTCATTTCCAAACAACAGTAGAAGCTTGACGAGATTCTCTCAATTCGCATGCTGCTTTCTGGTTTGGCTATCCGTCCATCACGTACAGTATCCATGGGGGTAAAATCAGAGAGATCATAATTACTATTAATCTTGTATTTCACAATCGGACCTCCCATATTGAGGCCTATTGTCATTCTGTTTGAGAAAGATTTGCTCATGGCTTTTTTCCTCTCCCTTATGTCTTTCAAAGATCAACTTGCTGATCTATTTACTAAAGCTCTTACTCGACATAGAGGTATTTATGCACTTTGCACAACCCAGCCATCTGTATAAATGTGATTCATATTATTGTGCAGGGGTAATTTTGCAATCTGTACAACCCAACATCTGTGCAAATGGGGTTAATCCCTAAGTGTGACCAATGAGAATTCTGTCCGAGCTTCTCTGATTCTGAACTATTTTTAGTCATTGTAGTAGAGGGGAATTCCCTTAGCGTTATACAGTGGGCACGACAAGAATCACACATGACACAGGGAACTAGTGGACCTAGTAGTAGTGACCATCCAAAGGTCATTTCAGTTAGCTAACACGAAGTGAGTTTAGCTTCGCTTCTGCTTACAGAATCCTCCACTACCAAGTAAATTTGCTGCTTCTAGTTCTATTTAGTTAATTAGGCTTTATCTAGTCAATTATTTACTCTCTAGTTTCTTCTCAGACCAGGTTTCTTGAAGTTCTTGGTTTCCTTTTTTCATATTTCGTTTCCTTTTATAGATTTATACATCTCTATATCTTTACACCTAAGTACAACTTGAAGCATATACTCTTTCCATCTAATGATATTTTCCAGTAATAAAAGAAAAGCTTATTGTACATAGACAACCTTCTATGATTTTTCTAAAGGAGCCAAAGAATGAAAAACAGAAGTTTGAAACCTAGAAACCGAAATCTTGATATCTATGGGTTATTTCTGTTTCCTTCATAATTGTAAAATTGTGTGTGTGTGTGTGTGCATGTGTGTAAAACGCAGTTGGATAGGAATCCCATTTACTGCAAGAGCCTTTTGTCCTAGATCTATTTTGTCGTTCCATTTTCCTACTAGATTACTACATCTTTAGTTGTCTTTACACCAAAATGCAATTAATGTATACCCTTCTCATCTCAAAATTTACAGTAAAAGAAAAGAAAGAAAAGACAAAACAGTTCGCTGGACAAAGACAACCTTGTATGAGTTCTCCTAAGGAATCATGAACGTTTGATTCTTGAAACTGGATGTCATGACTTGTTTCTTTCTTTTCCCTTTTTCTTAGTTATATGTGATAGAGCGTGTTCGTACAAATGCCTGTCTATATAAACATCTCACACCTGCTAAGTCATAGAATTTTGACAAGCACAACAAACCAGCAGGCAAAGTGAGTTGAATCCAAGTCCCTAGGTTTATAGCCTAAATATTATCCATGTTTCAAGAAACGAAGCCCCAATCGTGAGCAGAAGCCCCAATCGTGAGCAGGAGAGCCAGGATATCAGGATGTAAGCAGGGATGCTTCCTAGTAATGAAATGTTATGGCCCTGAAGTTTGATTTCCATACAATCTTGTATCAGGTCATCCATAGATTTTAAAAAAGCAGCCTCCAACAAAAATAACCATCATCCTCATTCATAATGAGAACCAGTAAACAGAGAACTAAATAGAAGTCTAACTCCTCAATCTAGCAGTTCATTTTCCACATACCTTTCCTTCTGAAGCCATCTTCCCAATATCCTCGTTTTCATCTTGCAGAGTCCTGCATTTGGCCATTAACATCTTTCCCATTTTACTTAGTGGTGTAAAATTTACAGCAGCAACATTGTCTTGCAACTCCTTTACTTTTTTCTCTTTCTCCTCTACCAGATTCTACCTTGTGGAAAGAAATATTGGCCATAAGTAAATGTAATCATGTAATTCTGGAACAGTTATCAAGTAGCTTAATTCATGAGCAAATAAGAACACAAAATATCATGAAAGAAGGCTATAAAGAATGTTCATGTGATAACAACGGTAATCACGTTTCTACCGAGAAAACCACAAACAATACATAACCATAACTTAGTCTACTTCAAATAAGAGCCATATGACACAAAAAAGGATGAACAATATTTGGCTCAGAATTCCGTTAAAAGGGTGAGAAATAGCCCCCATCGTTTCTAAATCCCCATCATCGGAGAAGAACATTCTGGAAATTAAAGCTAAATGTAAAAACTCAAAAGAACACCCTCACACCATACATTTGAGAAAATTCTGAAGGCAAACAATGAAAGTTAAGCTTTACGAAAAAAAAGATAGCAATAAGATATGGAGATCAAGCAGTTAACAGATGAAAAGGAATCTTTGTATCAAATCTAACTGCACCAATCCATTAGAAGCACATGGCCACATACGCACCTTTAAGCGTGTGAATTCCTCATGTATTGCAGGATCCAGCAGTAGTCTCCTTGTCTGTAAATGTTCCTCACAATATTAATTTCGCCATCTTTCCAAAAACCATATATTTACACTGACAGAAGTGACTGCTTAGCAGTATCAATTCTAATGGAAATTGAAATATCAGATCACTTAATCAAAACATACTTGAGAAAGGAAGCAAAACAATAATGAATTGCTGTAATTTTCTAGTTTGCAAAATAACAAAGTGTCATTCAGATCTTTTTTTACTTTAGGGGTGTGGTGTATCGTTACCAGTGGAAATTAATCATTTCTTTGTATTTGAGAAGAACTTCCAGAGTAATAGGAAGCAATCTTGATTAGGATGAATCAGAAATTTTATTCCATGATCAACCAATGTATGCATCAACAACTATGGATTGGATTAGTTTCTCCTCAACAATAAGTCCTTGGGCCAACAACAATAAACAATTATGGGAAACAACTATACAATTGGGGAATGTTTTCATGCCATTAGGTTGCGTTACAAATCTTACGAATTTTTGTGGTGGGACAAGCTCATAGTGGAAAACCCATAATATTAACTAAATGATGTAGAAATCTTTATTTCAGCTCATACATTCCATTTTAGATATTAAGATATTATGGGTGATCAGGCTACAAACACATCCATCAACTAAATAAAAAATGACACAGTCAACTATGAGTCCGAAAGAATCTGAAAAAACTGAATATGAATGCAAAAAGAAAGATTGGGACCCACTACTAAAGAACAAATCCACCCACCCCACATCAAAAATAATCAAATCAAGAAAGTCATACTTTCTTCAATGGGCAAGGGAGGCCATGGACCAGCTCCGTTACCTCAAATCAGGAAATCACACATAGGCTTGGAATCGTCAGTTTCACATCTGGAAACCATAGACTCCCACTTTGGATTTTTTATTGTCCATCCCATAGTTTTATAGAAGCCAACCAGGAAACACCCCACCCATTAAGGACTCTGCAAGCTAACACCCTTTTTTCGATCTTTAGACTAATTTACCAATTAAGACTGCCCATTTGAAGCTTCTTACTGTAAGGCCTTCTTCATGCTTATATAATTAGGACTTGTTAGGATCTTCAGCCAATTTCTCTTCCTATTCAAACTTTGATGGAACAGGCAAAGATGGAAAGGAGGCTCAAAACTCTGAAGCCCAAATGCTTAAGAACGTAGAGCAGATCATGATGCCCTCAACAGTTATCATATTACTCTGAGGAATGGAATGTATCACCTCTCTACAAATGAGGATTAGAACACTACTACAACCACATATCCTGAAGGCAATTGAAGGCATTTTCACCATTAATATAGGAAAAGTCCATTAATTTTATGTGCAAAAGACAAGAATAACTCCAATAAAGGGCAAATAATATTCAAGACTAAATATTAATTGGTTGCTCATTGTCACAACATCAAGTTAGTGTTCCAAACCATAATAGTGATCAAAAGAACACAAAAATATAGTAGCATAGAGCAACAAACATAAGATAGCGATGCAAATTGAACTCAGAAATTTATTTCGAGCTTTATTTTACCGTTTTTTTACTAGGGGCATGGATGTAATTTTTTATTTTTATTGGTTGAATTGGGACTCTTAAAGCATGAGGGGGTAACAGGCAATAGTTAATTAGAATTTTAGATAGTAAGTAATTTGCTATTTTTAAGGGCGATGGCATGATTCTTTTATGGGATGATAGCATATGTTAAAAGGTCATGGGAGGAAAGTAGAAAGGTAGTTACGGGAGGAAAACGGAGCTCCTATATTCATGGGATGGGAGTTATGGGGTTTGTATGACTTATAGAGAATGGGATTTGTATTACTTAGGGATAGATTTATGGGTCACGTAAATTAAAGAGAGTGATAGAGAAAGATATATATATATATAGAGAGAGAGAGAGATAAAGTGGGACAGAGAGAGTGTTTATGGATTTCTTTTATTGATTTATTTTTGGCTTAAATTGGGGGCAAGGCTTATGTTATTGGAGACTTGATATTTTTGGTAGAGTTTTTTTTTTTTCCATGAAAGAAGAAAGTGCCTCTTCTCATGTTTAGCTTGATTTATAACCACTTGTTACCTCCATTGTTCGTAAGTTCTTGCTTATTTCAAGATCGAAAGAAGGTCGGATTTACTATCCCGGCTTCTTTTTGCCTCAAGTGGTATACAAGGGATGGTTGGCGACTGCGATGGTTGGTCGTGTAGGTCATGGCCATGGGAATGTCGCGCTTTACCGAAGGCTCGACAACTTGACAGAGATGGTTGTACAGTTGCTGCAAGAGAGAGATCAACAGCAAGGTGCCCTAAATGAAGGGGTTCCAGTGTTGATGGATCAGAATTGTGAGGGTCTCGATGGAGATGGGCACAAGGAAGAGCCTAAATCTGGGGCGAAGCCGGTTGATGATGTGTCTGATCATCCAAATTTGCTCAATACGAGATGGCGCTGACTAGAGCGTGAATCTGGTGAAGAGTCAGGCTGCCGACCACCCTGAGGTCAATATGCCCAACATAGGGGCAAGGATTGGCAAGAATCGCGTGATCAGTATCAAGATGCGTGGAGACACAAGCATAGAGAGTCTGATACAGATATAAGTTGATCTCCCTGAATTTCATGAAAATCTTTCCCCAGAATAATTTTTGAATCGATTGAGCACGGCTGAGGGCTTCTTTGATTGGAAAGACTTGTCAGATTCAAAGAAGGTCAAACTTGTGGCTCCTACATCAGTGTGGTGGGATCAAGTTCAGGAAGCATTAGTTCGAAAGGGCAAAAAAAAAAATCATATCATGGGCCAAGATGAAGGCAGAGATGAGTGCGCAACTTCTCCCGTCGAGCTATTCACATATATTGTACCAACATTTCACAGGTTACATCAAGGTACAAAATCCATTTGCAAGTATACAAAGGAGTATTACCGCTTAGCGTTGCGTAATTCGCAGAGACCGAGGATCAAAAGGTGGTGCGTTCTGTTTCGAGGTGCAGAATTCAATCCAAGATGAGATTGCCCTGCATGATACACCTCAGTTGGAGGCAGTCTATCAAGCCACTTTGAAGGTGGAGAAATGGAAAAGAAAGGAGGCAGCCACATGCCGACACACCCGGAGTGGGATTGACACAAACTAGGAGGCCGGCGCCTCCAACCAAAGAGTTCCTGCAGCAAAAGATACCTGAGCATGAACCCAAGCCCAAGAGGTTGCTGGTCCGAGGTGTTTTAGGTGCAATGAGGTGGGGCCGAGTTGCAAAGTGCCCATTGAATGCAGCTCAGCACCATGCCAACTTGGTAGAACTCAAATATGATGCTGAAGAAGGGGAAGGCCATTAAGGATACCCGGTGATTGAGGGTGAAAAGAGGCTGATTTTGATGGTCAAGTCGATGAAGTGGTGGCTCATCAAGGATATACCTTGCTAGTTCTATGTGATTTCTCATTGACACATGCACCCCAGGAAGAATGTCAGCTAAGGACTAACATATTTCGCACCTATTGTACGTGCAGTGGCAACTGTGTAACATCATCATCTACAGTGGGAGTTTGCAGTGGCAAGTGTGTAACATCATCATCTACAGTGGGAGTTGCAAGAACATGGTCTCTCAAGATATGCTAGACAAGTTGCATCTCAAAGTCAGAAAGCACCCACATCCTTACAAGGTCGCATGGTTCATGCACGAGGCTGAGGACCTGTTACTTCTCGATGCTTAATTAAATTTTCTATTGGCAGTTTCTATAAAGATAAGGTTTGGTATGATGTTATACCAATGGATGCTTGCCACATACTCCTACGACGTCCCTAGCAGATGATTGAAAGACCATCCATAATGGTGAACGTAACACGTATACATTTTGGAAGGATGGTCGTAGGTGGTATTATTGCCCTTGCGTGAGGAGACACCCCCAAGTCTTCCAAAAAGGAGGGTGTGGCTCATCCCTCACTCCAGCAGTTTATGGAAGCGAGTAAGGAGACCGGGCTGATTTATGCACTTGTGGGAAAAGACTTAGACATCCTATTTCAGTGCCTAAAGCTCTTAGGCCACTTTTCTTGGAGTTTGAGGACCTTGTGCCGTATGAGTTACCTGCCGGCTTGCCAGTTATGAGGAATATACAACATTGTATTGACCTCATACCTGGGTCAAGCTTACCAAAACTACCAACTTATAGAATGAGTCAAAAGAGCATGATGAGCTTCAGAGGCAGGTGGATAAGTTGTTAGCAAGGGGGCTTATAAGGGTTAGCATGAGTCCATGTGCGGTACCAGTTCGCTTACCCCTAAGAAAGATGGGTCATGGAGGATGTGTGTAAATAACAGTAGAGCAATTAACAAAATAACAGTTAAATGCCGATTCTCTATTTCACGGTTGGATGATATGCTTTATATGTTAGCTAGGGCATCTGTATTTTCCAAAATTGACTTGAGAAGTGGCTACCATCAAATTCACATAAGTGAGGGGGATAAGTGGAAGATCGCTTTTAAGACAAAGTGGGTTGTATGAGTGGCTAGTGATGCCTTTTGGCCTATCAAATGCACCTAGCACCTTCATGCACATGATGACGCAGTGTTACGACCTTTTATTGGCAAATTTGTGGTGGTTGTATACTTATTCATAGTGTAGATGCCCACATTGATCATCTTCGTCAGATACTAATAGTCGCTAAGAGCTGAGACGTTAATACATCAATCTTAAAAAGTGTAACTTCTTAACCAATAGTCTAATGTTTTTGGGCTATGTTGTGTCTTCAAATGGGGTGACAGTAGATTTTGAGAAGGTGCACGCTATAGTACAGTAGCCGGTCCCAAAATCAGTGACAGAAGTGTGAAGTTTCCATGGACTTGCTACTTTCTATAGGAGGCTTATCAAAAATTTCTGTAGTAATTATGGCCCCAATTACCGAGTGCTTGAAAAGTGGACTTGAGCTGCAAGTAAAGCTTTGGCCACCATTAAAGAGAACATGATGAATGCTCAAGTGCTTGCATTGCTAGATATCTGCAAGGTTTATGAGGTCGAATGTGATGCTTCTCACAT